GATACCAACACCCACCCCTTCGCGGTGATGTTTCACATCGCGCGATCCAACACGCCACCCGATGGCCTTCTAACTGAGGAGGAGCTGAAGAATTTTCTCCAAGGATCTGAAACGGAGGGCTATTCGGAGAAGCTTGAGGCGTTTTCCCTTTATCGTGACTTTTTGGTGCACTGCCTTGAGGTGAAACCAGAGGACCGGTGGACGGCACAGCAGCTCTTGATGCACCCATTCTTTCATCAAACGTTCTCCAAGCACCTGCGTTGGTTGCCGCCTCAGCCACCAATATCGGTTGACGAGGCTTAAACTCTATTCTTCTTTCCGGCGTGATGCGGTTGTTGTAATAGTTTTTTTTTTTTTTTTGTGGCTTGGAAGTAAAGAACCAACATACAGATTCTCTTAATGCATATTAGTGAGTTTTTTTTCTTACTCTTTACATTTTCTATGTAATGTAGAACGATTATCATTTTCAGAATCGTGTTGATTAATTTGATAAATGGAGTTTTGTGAATCTGTGCGCGTGCGTGTAGGGTTTCTGAGGCTGGTACTGTGACATAAATGTGCTTCCCTAGGACTTATGTGTATATTTTCTGAAAGAAGAGACTCGGACGACATCTGTTAGCTTATCCATAATTATGCTCGCGCATCCGTATATAAAACACGTATGATTATATTCAAATAAGTGGATCTACCAAACGTTCTTTAATTTCCTTTCCTTTAAATCTTCTCCTTATTGATCCCAGTCGAACCTAAAAGCAGCAAGTTGTAACCTGAAGAATAAGGAGGAAGTCATATTTTTCTATATATGTGTATATCTTTGAGATTAAAAAACAACTTTTTTAAATAAATTTCTCATTGATCTGTGAAAATGGAAAATACTGATACTGATTAGTTACCTTTTTATTATCCTTTTTTTCCCTTTGGTTCACATTCACATGTATATACAACTATTTTGGTTATTTTACATATTAATAGCCGTGAGTGATCTCTTTCTGTTCTTCTGTTCTTTGAATGGACTATTGGAAGTGCAAGGACATGAGACAGGTCGGATCACCTTTTTTTTCGAATATGGAGGAGGCTTTTATTATTTTAATGTCCTTTCTTGATTGTGTGGGTGTTAGGTCTTTTACGTAATTCCGAACTTTTTTCCATCTTTTCTTTTAGTATTCGATGGGTTTACATTTTGAAAAAAATTCATTGTTCATTTTCTTGACGTGAATATAGTGTTATTTTGCTACATTGCACTGGTATGTGTAAGTAACGCTTTATTTCTTGAGCTTCTAGCTTTTTGTTCTTTCCTTTTTTAAATCTATTTGTGTAAATTATTTTTCCCTTTTACTTCTTAAAGTATGTTAAGTAAGCTAATAGTTTCTGCGATCCATAAGTTGAAGTCAGATCAAATAAAATTTATATGATACACTTCAGTTACCACATTTCATTCCTTTTGTGAGATATGTTTTGTTTTGTTTTCTAATCATCCTCCACGTTTCTCCACTTATTTCTATTTTAAGCAATATTTTAAGTGTACATCTCCACTTTCCATTTTAATATATACTTTGTTTATTCATCGTTATTTTTACTAGATTTTGTCTTTGTTTGATCATTTTTATTTCAGTTGATCTAGTTTTGCTTTATTTTACGTTATTCATTTTCGTCTTTAGTTAGGTGCGCGATTAATTGAAGTCAAACTTATGTGTTTATATGTTAATTTTTAAGGGTCAAAATAAAGCGAAGTTGTGAACAAGGTAAATCATCACTACTGGCATCGCCACAACTAACAACCGTAGCGTTTGTTCAAACCTAGCTACGAAGATATGACCAGTAATCTTGAGACGCCTGACCATTACTTTGACAGCGCTGACTCTGATGCTTTAGCCACTGCTGGCAAGGTAATAAAATCCCTTAGAGGCAACGGCCCACTCAGCGATGCGTCGACATCGCTTAGCCGTAGCGATGGCAAACCCTCCAATGGAATCTCAGAGGAGGACAAAACCAAGCTTTCCAAGCCTTCCAAGGCCTTATCATGTATAGACCCTTCAAACAACGTGAAGAAATTGAATGGCGGTGCAAACACGCGACGGGTGGTGTCGAAAAATCCCAAGAAGAAGCCCGTGGTATACACGAAAAGCAAATCACCCAAGCCCAAGTTGCCCGACTCCTCCCGAAGCTCGACGCCGACGATGGAGAAGGTCCCGCCGCTTTTGCTATCCCTGGTGGCCTCGAACCCGGCGGT